AAACAAGTTTCTATGTTAATTTGGTTTTGAAGTAGACATACGGATTTTTAACATATAACGTTTATATTGGATTCTGAACAAAAGTTTTTAACACATACAATCTACTACGATACACTCGTGGAGAAACCTCAACCAGCAGTGACATCGACCCAGTGGTTGTAAATAAACTCATCATAATTACCAGAATTAAAATTTTGTATGTCAGAAGCGCGTTTTGTCTACAAAAGACTCATCATTGACGCTCGAATCAAAAAGTTGAAAAAGTCAAATAAAGTACGAAGTTGAAGAGCATTAAGCAGCCAAAATTCCGAAAGGTTACGTCAAGTACAGTTTAGGCAATCTATTCCTGAGTTAAAAAATCCTTAGCATTTCAAAAAATTCAAAGTTTTATAAACAGTTTATTTATAATAATGACCATATCAATGATAATGCATGTCAACACAGAAGTGCGGACTACTGGGCTGGTGATACCCTTGAGGAGAAACCTCGACCAGCAGTGACATCGACCCAGTGGTTGTAAATAAACTCCTCATAGATACCTGAATTAAAATTTTGTAAGCCAGACGCGCGTTTCGTCTACAAAAGACTTATCAGTGACGCTCGAAGAGACGGTTTGTTTGCAGGTAAAACTACATTAATCTGACTTTATACTTTTGATTGTACCGCGTCAGTCTATCTGGATCATGTGTTGTCTAAATTTATATTTTTATTCAGAGGAATCTGTTGTAGCTCGTTGGTGTGGTCTGTTGTACAGTCCTATATTTTGGAAATTCCAGCTATACTTTTTTATTCATAAAATTACACTTAGTTTTGTTTTTAAGTCTTTTTCAGTATTTGTTGATTATCATTAATATTTCAACAGCATCCGTGTAGTTTTTAATTTAAAATTACAAAAAATCCATCTTATCGAATGATCGAAAGCGTCTTATCTTAATATTTGTACTTGTCACTTGCCATGAGTCCTATATTGTGATTTTTGTGACTGTTTTTCTCGTCGTTATTTTTATCTGTTTTTGGTTAACCCTATGGTATCTTCTTAGATTTTGACATAAGTTATGTTTCCAAAATAAATATTATACCAATATGTACATTTTTCAATTAAAGTCTTTGTGTCCTTTAATGGTAGCAGTTACTTCAGATTTTCTTATTAATCTCATTTACCATTAAAAAAAAATGTACCAATACCTACGTCGATATATTTGCATGCAATATCCTCTTTTGAAAATACCGCCAATAATTTTAGATCGGAGAAATAGAACTCCATTTTTTGAAAGTGAAATAGAGCGAGCGTCTGTTCCTTTTGTACATTCAACTGGATCCTTTGTCTCTGGAAAATTATTTGGTATGTTGTAGTCTATTTCAATGGCAAGTCCACATTCCTGATTTTCAGGAGCTGCATTTGTCTTCATATCATACTTCCTCATAAATAAAGTATATATACTAGTCTGATTCTGTAATGTAACTTCACATGTACATCCATCTTGTTGTGTCATAACCCGTAATGCTACACTGTCTATTGTTGTTCCTCCATTAATTTTTTCTTCTTTTGCATACTGTGTGGTACACATGTTAGCTTGGAATGTTGATGGAATGTAAAATAAAACAAAACATATACAGGTAAGGGAAAGTTGTGCTTTTTATTTAATTGTCTTGATGCACTTACTTGTACTTCTATTTTTTACCAAGTTACAAAATCTTATCACTTATATTTTCATTCTGGTCAACATTTCAGAAACGTTACAACTTTTTAAGAAAAAAGCCAAGTTTTTTTGAAATTGAAATGAATGTTATTATTATCCATTCAGTTTTCACAAATTTAAGTCGAGATAAAGAAAACATTTCAAATGTGAATCTATACAAATTTAGAAAAAAAAACTTCAATTAGACAATCACTTACCGATTGTTGATTTAGCGCTAATATCTAGACATGGATTTGGTACTGTTTGTAGCTGAGCATTTTGCATATCTAAAATTGATAGGATATTGCATGTGCTTTTAAACTAGTTCAACATTATTAAAGGGTTACTGCAATGACATTATGATAATTAATGTTCCGAGCAGTATATCATATTTCACGAGCTTGTGAGTGCTATAATATATACAGCGAGGGACAAGTTTCCTCAATACCAGTGTAATTACCCTTTTATAATGTAGTACCAAATATGTCTGCAGCATTGCTGATACATCGTCTAATTCCTGCAGCTCTGATAACTGCAGTAAGGACGCAATATACGTTTCCATCGCCTTGTCAATTTCTTTTCTGCTTGCATGCAAATATCGGTTTACTCAAACTAATGTATAGTTCAGCTAAAATTATGAATGATCTACGTTTTAGGTATTATTTATGAAGGAAGAAAAGTAAAAATATTGGCAAATAGTTCATTTTATATTACAAAATCTACATGAAATATTTAATATACTAATATACTTGTTCATCAGTGCTTGCCTACATTTGAAATCAAATCTATGTGATCTAGGTTATTTAGGTTTGACCTTTTTCCGTCGGCTACTGCTGTTACGTTGAACATCCCAAATGTTTATGGCACAAATTTTTGACACGACCTTCGTTTTAATTGTAATGATCAAATGAATGCATTTATTTGTATATCTATCCATGAGAAAAATTGACATGAATAATTGTACAAAATATAATAAATGCAGACCATGTTTTCCACCTCAAAAGTGTTACTTGCGTCAGCTTTCATATACTAACCGTGCGAGACCATTATAGATTGTTAAGGTCTTTAACAACCCCGTAGTAGTTTGCATACTTAAAATTATAGCTCATTGTCAAAATAAGCATCATAGATTAAAATTCCATTTTATGTATTAAACAGTTGTGTCTGTATTCTGTGTCGAAATCGACACAATAAACAGAAAAACGAGTAGTGTGTTGGACTTGGTTCTTTGTGCGTTTTAAGTCTACATAGCGGAACTATATAGAATTTCGCGGTGCAATGTTTTAGATTCATGATCTATACAAGATACATACAAACTAATCGATATACGAAAACGCATATCTGGATATCTACTTAAATTCATATCTCTAATAATTTCTTTTACCTGTTATTGACAGAAATACACATATCCCTGAATAAAGCATTGAAAGATTTTCCACCATTTTGTTAAGCATGTCACTTATAACTTATTTATGTTTGTTTTTAAATCTTACGGAAGTGTCATTGTATTGTAAACAAATGAAATAGTTATGTAAAGGTTTTAACAGATCAATGATTTTGATTGTCGTCTATTTTAATATAACGCATACCAGGAACTGTGCAGGTTTAGATAAAGTTTAATACATTTTAAACACCTATCACATTTAATCGATTTTAACATGCAAGGATTTCCCATCAAACCTTTTAAGTCAAAGTTTACATGTACATGTACATTACTAGGAAGTATTTCGGATGTTTCTGAAATTTTGTAGGATTTCATTCAATATAAAAAATACATAGAGCCCATGATTTACTAAGAGAGTGTGATATTAAGATTTGAATGAATAGTATACACATACAAAAGACCATTATCACATCCTAAATATTACGGTGATGTTGTAAACTGACCCCGGAAATTTAAATACGATCCGGATAAACTTATCAATCCTTTAAATAAACTTATTCTAATCTTGTAATTAAATCTTTGAATATTATTTTATTGGTATAAATATTGATTTTGTTATCAGTAAATTAAAACCATACTAAATATTATACATATGTACTTTCACGGTAATATAATCTGTCGATACCTATAGTTTGGCATTGCACAAGGTCATGTTTTTCTCTGACTGGTAATGACGTCTTTACACTAAATCCATTGGATGTTGGATATGTACCTCTGATATTTTAGTCTTAGATTCATTAGTTGTTAATGGCTTTGAACTAGCTGTCAGTAACTGAGGGTACTCTCAGATCTGCATTTAGTGTCTTAGTGTTTTTGGGATGTATAAGTACCCGTCCACGTCCACTCTGTGTTTTTGTTAGATGTATTTCTATTTGTATCCATCTGTGTTTTTGTTAGATGTAATTCTATTTGTATCCATCTGTTGAGTTAAGCCTTTCTCAACTGATTTTTATAGTTTGTTCTTATGTTGTACTGTTACACCACTGTCCCAGGTTAGGGGAGGGTTGAGCGCTCACTAACATGTTTGAATTGTTTTACACTAGTCATTTTGGGGCCCTTTGTAGGTTGCTGTTCGGTGTGTGCCAATGCTCCGTGTTGAAGGCCGTACTTTGACCTATAATTGTTTACTTTTTACACATTGTGACTTGGAAAAAGAGTTGTCTCATTAGCACTCATACCACATTTTCTTATTTCTATCAACACCGCCACATTCTGTATGTGCCTGTTCCAAGTCAGGAGCCTGTAGTTCAGTGGTTGTCGTTGGTTCATGTCTGTCATATTTGTTTTTCGTAAATTGTTTTTATAAATTAGGCCGTTAGTTTTCTCAATTGAATTGTTTCATATTTTTCATGTCGGGGCCTTTTATAGCAGACCATACGGTATGGATTTCTCTCATTGTTGAAGGCCGTACGGTGGCCTATAATTGATTACATCCACTTCATTTGAACTTTGGTGGATAGTTGTCTCGTTGGCAATCATACCACATCTCCTTAATTTTATATAACAAGAAACTAACTGTAAGTTGTGTATGCTTCCTCTTACATACAATTTCGTGTTCACCTTATAGATATCATTTTTCTATATTAAGTTCAATTTTGATATTTTGTTAAAAAAAAACAAAAAAAAAACACATATAAACGCGGTGAACTGAAAAAAAACCGACGTGTGATTGGTAAGATTAATTATAGACAAGACAAGACAAAGACAAAATATTTCATTAAAGTCTCACCACTTGTTACATATAAGATATACAGCATTGTAAAACACAAGTTAATATCAAAAGCCACTCTATAAAGAATTATGAAAATCTATAAACAACAAAATATAATAGAATTTAATTAAATGAAAATCAAATTCGTTTATTGAATTAACATATACGTGTACTGAGACTCGACAAATCGAGTCGTCCTTTACTCTTATTGTTATGCTAATTTGAGCATGTGAGAGTTGAGCCGTAAAAGTCCGTGCAATTTAACAGTCACTTTTACCTTGAAAACCAAACGGAGAGGACGTTAAAACAATTTAGAGAAATATTACATCAAGATCAGTATAGATTGCATTAGTTTATTTAGCAAGTCATATTTTAAATTTAATTCGAATTTAAAGATTTCATTTGTGTTTTTTGAAATAGTTTAATTAATTTCTTACTTCGTCGAATTATATATGCGGCCACGTGGTATTGAAAACATTTTTAAATGAATAATCTTTACATTTTTATACATGAATTGCCTAAATATGTTTAATTACACATTTTATTTTATCGTTGATTCAGAACGTTAAAGTACACCTGCTATAATGCGTAAAGACAGGTAGGTGTGTGCTTACAGGTTAAAATATTGATAAATAATTTATATATTTTACATGTCACAATTCTGATATACCGGTGATAAATTCATTTAGATAAGAGACAATTTAAGGAATTATTGATTTAATTTCAAATAATTCAATAATTTTAATTGATAGATAGGAATAAAAACGAATACTGAAATAATTGCATTGAAACTGTTTTTTAAATTAAATTAAGTGACAGAATAATGATCGCGTGATGTTAGTAAGTACTAAATTTTTAACCTATTTTGTTTATACAAATGCCTAGAATTGGTCGACGAAGAAATGGAAATGGGCGCGCACGAGTGCCTGTTGTTGAAGCGCAACCCCCAGAGAGACGTCGCGGAAGGAGAAATCGTGGTGTTGCTGCACCGGGAGTTCAAGAATTTGGGGCAGTTGTGGGTGAGGTACAAGAACCTGTTCCTCTACAAATCCAGTCTCCTATGCCAATTGAAGGACAACCTGCCATGCAAGGTCCCGTTACACCAGCACTCAACGTACAAGCGCCATTTGCGCAAGTTGAGATACCAGCTCCTGTGCCAATGCCTAATCAAAATGGTGAGATAAATAATGATCCTATGCTTATACCTAATCAGTCAGAATGTGATGTTTACGTATCTCAAAATTTAAAAGAAAAAATATGGAATAGAGAATTTATAGATTTGTCATTACTTCTTTATCAAAATCGTATCAGTCAAATTGACAAACCTCAAAATGTGATAATTTATGATAACGCAGCCGGTTCACTTGTAATCACATCAAACAAAAACAGCAAAGTTAAATCTATTCAAAATATTGAGTCATGGACTGATGCCCTTAGTTTTCTCAATTGAATTGTTTCATATTTTTCATGTCGGGGCCTTTTATAGCAGACCATACGGTATGGATTTTTCTCATTGTTGAAGGCCGTACGGTGGCCTATAATTGCTTACATCCACTTCATTTGAACTTTGGTGGATAGTTGTCTCGTTGGCAATCATACCACATCTCCTTAATTTTATATAACTAGAAACTAACTGTAAGTTGTGTATGCTTCCTCTTACATACCATTTTCTTGTTCACCTTATAGATATCATTTTTCTATATTAAGTTCAATTTTGATATTTAAAAAAAAAAAAAAAAAAAAAAACCACATATAAACGCGGTGAACTGAAAAAAAACCGACGTGTGATTGGTAAGATTAATTATAGACAAGACAAGACAAAGACAAAATATTTCATTAAAGTCTCACCACTTGTTACATATAAGATATACAGCATTGTAAAACACAAGTTAATATCAAAAGCCACTCTATAAAAAATTATGAAAATCTATAAACAACAAAATATAATAGAATTTAATTAAATGAAAATTAAATTCGTTTATTGAATTAACATATACGTGTACTGAGACTCGACAAATCGAGTCGTCCTTTACTCTTATTGTTATGCTAATTTGAGCATGTGAGAGTTGAGCCGTAAAAGTCCGTGCAATTTAACGGTCACTTTTACCTTGAAAACCAAACGGAGAGGACGTTAAAAAAAATTAGAGAAATATTACATCAAGATCAGTATAGATTGCATTAGTTTATTTAGCAAGTCATATTTTAAATTTAATTCGAATTTAAAGATTTCATTTGTGTTTTTTGAAATAGTTTAATTAATTTCTTACTTCGTCGAATTATATATGCGGCCACGTGGTATTGAAAACATTTTTAAATGAATAATCTTTACATTTTTATACATGAATTGCCTAAATATGTTTAATTACACATTTTATTTTATCGTTGATTCAGAACGTTAAAGTACACCTGCTATAATGCGTAAAGACAGGTAGGTGTGTGCTTACAGGTTAAAATATTGATAAATAATTTATATATTTTACATGTCACAATTCTGATATACCGGTGATAAATTCATTTAGATAAGAGACAATTTAAGGAATTATTGATTTAATTTCAAATAATTCAATAATTTTAATTGATAGATAGGAATAAAAACGAATACTGAAATAATTGCATTGAAACTGTTTTTTAAATTAAATTAAGTGACAGAATAATGATCGCGTGATGTTAGTAAGTACTAAATTTTTAACCTATTTTGTTTATACAAATGCCTAGAATTGGTCGACGAAGAAATGGAAATGGGCGCGCACGAGTGCCTGTTGTTGAAGCGCAACCCCCAGAGAGACGTCGCGGAAGGAGAAATCGTGGTGTTGCTGCACCGGGAGTTCAAGAATTTGGGGCAGTTGTGGGTGAGGTACAAGAACCTGTTCCTCTACAAATCCAGTCTCCTATGCCAATTGAAGGACAACCTGCCATGCAAGGTCCCGTTACACCAGCACTCAACGTACAAGCGCCATTTGCGCAAGTTGAGATACCAGCTCCTGTGCCAATGCCTAATCAAAATGGTGAGATAAATAATGAGCCTATGCTTATACCTAATCAGTCAGAATGTGATGTTTACGTATCTCAAAATTTAAAAGAAAAAATATGGAATAGAGAATTTATAGATTTGTCATTACTTCTTTATCAAAATTGTATCAGTCAAATTGACAAACCTCAAAATGTTATAATTTATGATAACGCAGCCGGTTCACTTGTAATCACATCAAACAAAAACAGCAAAGTTAAATCTATTCAAAATATTGAGTCATGGACTGATGCATTTATAAATTATATGAAGATATTTATTCAACGTTTTCCAAAGTTAGCTAGTGAATTGACCACTTATATGTCAATCATTAGAGGTACACAAGTTTGTTTTGAGAAGATTTATCGTTACGACCAGCAATTTAGATTAAGAATGGCAAACAGTCCTACTAGATCTTGGTCTTCCATTGATGGCATTTTATGGTACACTGTCATAGCTAATGGGGAACCGGAATGTAATACAATTCAACAGACAAGTCTAGGTAATCGACCATGCTATGATTATAATTTAAAGGGAGCTTGTTATCGACAGAATTGTTTTTACACCAATTCATGTTTGAAATGCGAAATGGCCCACCCTTTTGCTGGCTGTCCACAACAAGTAAATAGCAACCAGACATATGCTCGTGTTCAAAATGCAGCCCGAGGCACATATCAAAATACTAGTACACTAAGAGTTGCTAGAAATTTTGCACCTAGGACCCAAACACATTTTCAAAGAGCAGCGAATTCGAATCAAGGATTTAGACCTCGAGGAAGCAGATTCCCTGCCCTAAGAATGGCTGCACCACATACATTTAACAATTAAATTTTATGTTTTTCAGAATCTTTAATTAATCCGTTGGACGTATGGTGTCTTGGCTTTACTCCGATCAATGTCACAGAATTAAATAAACTCCTCTTCAATTATCCAAATGAACACGATGCAATGATATTATATAAGGGATTTTCTGAAGGTTTTCGGTTAAATTATTTTGGACCACGATGTAGGATTGAATAAAAAAAATTACGATCGGTCATCCAAAATCCTGGGGTCGCATGGGAAAAAGTCATGAGTGAAGTAAAAAATGGTCGCATAGCTGGTCCGTTTTTTACCAGACCTATATCTAATCTAAGGTGTTCGCCTATAGGTGTAATTCCTAAGAAAACTGGTGGATTTAGATTGATTACGCACTTATCTTTTCCGCCAAATTTTAGTGTAAACGACTTTATTGGTTCACTACAGTAAAATAATCGTCTTTTGACAATGCTATTGATATGATTAAAAGATTGGGTTCAAATGTTGAAATTGGAAAAAAGTACATTAAATCCGCCTTCAGATTATTAAAAATCTATCCAGGGGATTTTGATCTATTAGGGTTTAAACTTAATCAATATTATTTCATAGATAAATTATTGCCTATGGGATACTCAGAATCAAATTTTATTCAATGGGCTGTCATTAATGAGTCCAATTCAGATAATCTTGATCATTATTTGGATGATTTTTTGTTTGCCGGTAAAAGCAATACCCAGGATTGTAAAAATCTGATGAATAGTTTTGATACAGTGTGTTGTCGTCTTGGAGTCCCAATTGCTCTTGAAAAAACAGAAGGCCCAACAACAAAACTTAGTTATTTAGGCTTGCTTATAGATACAGAAAAAATGTTAATACAAATTCTGGACGACAGAGTATTGGAGTTGAAGTCGAGAATTAAATGGGTATTGGGTAGGAAAAAGATAACTTTAAGGGACCTGCAATCTCTGTGTGGGTCATTAGCTTTTTGTGCAAAAGCTCTACCTGCAGGCAGAGCATTTAGCAGACGAATTTATTTGGCAAGTAGTCACGCAAAGAAACCACATCATTATGTCAGAATCACAGAAGGCATGTATCAAGACTTATTGGTATGGGAATTGTTTTTAGACAAATTTAACGACATAAGTTACATGCTCGACATTGATTGGACTTCAAATTCAGTTTTACAACTATTTACTGACAGCGCTGGTGGTTCAACACAAGGGTGTGGCTGCTATTTCAAAGGTAAATGGGCTTTTCTTCAATGGCGTGTTGAATGGTCTGGTACTGAAGTTCTCAGGGATATATCATATTTAGAAATGATACCTATTGCACTATCTGTTTACTTATGGGGTAATTTATTTCAAAAAAGGAAAATTTTTATTTAATTCGGATAATAATGCCGTGTTGAAATTTTAAATTAAAAGACATCAAAATCTTTGCGAATAATGAACCTTGTTAGACAAATAGTATATTGGTCGTTATTAGGCAATTTTCACATATAAGCACATGTACAGTTCATTCCTGGTTACACAAATATAATTGCAGATTGTATTTCTCGTAAAAAATTTCAGAGATTCAAAAGTCTGGGTCTAACAGCAGATACTCCTCCAGCTACCATTCCGGAGGAATTTTGGAACATTTTAGACCAGAAGTAGCAAAATTATTGGACGCATCGAATTCTCAGATACATGGAAAACTTATAACAATGGAGTGGCCTCATTTATTGCGTTGTCAGTTTGTTTTCGATCTATGAGTTTGACTGTCCCTCTGGTATCTTTCGTCCCTCTTTTGTTTCATTTAGATTAACAGAAGGTTTAGGAAATACATGGCCGCCCAGTATTTCGCATTTAGTAAATTATGTTGCTTATTTATCAAAATTAGGATATGCCCCTGCAACGGTTAAGGTATACTTATCAGGTTTAAGTTATTATTTACGAATAAACGAGCTCACAGATTCGACTTCATCGTTTATTATACAAAAGATGTTGAAAGGAATGGACAAATTATACGGTGTAGTAGATAGTCGAGAACCTATGACTTTAGAAATATTAATGCGATTAATACATTCTTTGCAATTTATATGTTTTTCAGTATATGAATGTACGTTATTTAGATCCATGTTTTTATTAGCATTTTTTGGCTTTTTTGAGAATCGGTGAAATTACAATTAAACGAAATACGCAACATGTCATTAACAATGATGATGTCAATGTTTCACATCAGTCACAATCTGCATATATCACAATCCCCTTTTCAAAAACGGATCAAAAAAGATTATCTACAACACTAACAGTTGAAAGTTTTAATCAAGCAGATATTTGCACAGTGAGATTGTTATTAAACTTTATTTCAATCAGAAACAAAATCAATGGACCATTTTTTTTGTCATTTCAATTTAACCGGTGTAACACGTTATCAATTTTCTAGTGTACTATGCAAGACCATGAAATTTATTGATTGTAATCCAAATGAGTACAACACACATTCATTTCGAATAGGTGCAGCTACACATTTTGCTATGAACGGTCAAACTGATGAAGAAATTATGACTTTAGGTCGTTGGAAATCTGCATCCTTTAAACGTTATATAAGAATTGAGCTAACAAAATAATTTATATTTTCATCTTGTCTTAGTAATGAAATATGGATAATTGGTTCTTCAATAATATGCAGTGCTCGTGATTACTCGGAGAACAGACCTTCAGGTAGTAATTTAGGTCTCTTAAAAAAGTAATAATTGTTTTTTGCAGGCTGGGCAGGCAAATCTGGTATGAAATGGGACGATGTTGTTGTTACCGTTCACAGCATAATTAATTTATGCAACAAAATTCCAAATGCGTTAATATTGCATTGTGCTGGGAATGACATAGGAAATGTACCATGTGGTGCTCTGCTTTACCACATAAAATTCACAATAGCAATTTTGTCTCGTATGCTCCCAAAATGCTCACTTATATGGTCAAGCATTCTTCCCAGACGTTCATGGCGTTACTCAAGTGATGACCATGCCATGGAAGTTACAAGAAGAAGAATAAACAAGGGAGTGAGATCTTGTATACTCAAACATGGAGGATACGTTATTAAGTATCCCGATTTTGACGACCGTCATCCTGCGCTATTTTCCGATGACGGAGTACATCTATCATTTATTGGAAATGATATTTTCTTGAATCAAATTCAATCAGCACTAGAAACATTCATAAAGCATCCACATTGTGTTGTATTTCCTCACGATCACCTGTAATCTAACATAAACATAGTTCATGTTGACAATGGATGAAAATACATGATATTTTTGTGAAATTTGGTTGCTATATAAATGTTAAATACGCAATATCTTTTATTATTTTGATTGTTCAAATGTTGTTAAAAATTGCTCATAGAATTGGATATAACTGAATTGTCATGGGTAAATTTTGTGGCTGATTATCATTCTGTACTTATAGTCCGAATGATAATTTTGGCGAAATTTACTTCATTTTATGCAGACTATGGATAGCCCAGCTGCTAATTCTGAAATATTGCTGAATGGACCACCCTTCATTACACCAGCTTTGGATCGCCCAGCTGTGATACAGTGATAGTTCAATCGTCATCAAGATTTTATTGATTGACAAATATTTTGGTTGTGTACTGTTGTTGTAACAGTTGTTGTTGTTTGAATGAATTTTGATTAAATGTTGCCATGACAATTCAATATCCAAACAAAATCAGTGTTTGTTATTTGTTGTAGTTAAATACAAATCAAATCATCAATGGTGTCTGTTCGTCAATTCTGATATTTGGTAATTTACATCAAGTGATTAATTTGATCAAATGATATATTCAATAATACAAATATAAGTCAACTATGAGTATAAAATACCTCGCTGTAAATGAGTAAAATTTCTTTGCAGATTTTAACAGTATAAAATACCATATTAAAAAAGAAATATCAATTTATCAGACATTTATGAAATATTCTCATCAACAAAATATGTTTTGCACCTTCAATGTCATCAGTGCAATTAAAACATACTTTATTTTCTATATATGTTCTGATGGGCGCAACACCACATCTAAAGTTTGCTAACGCACTCCTGTATCTACAAGGTATATCAAAAATCAGATAATTTTCTACACCATATACATTTTTTACAGTATACGTACGTAATTTATCTTATTTTTTTTTCAAAAAGATACATTGTCAACATACAGATCCATATTAGATGTGTATTTTTTCACACCCATGAAAAAGCGCATGGCTCTATTTTTTTTTTACATTATTTAAATATGCAAATTCACGTGTTCCCCATAAAGAGGCACCATAATCTATTACAGATTATACAAGAGTATCAAACAATTTTGTTTATATTAAATATGTAAAACCCCCGTTACCTTTACATTAAGAAATCAACATTTACAAATTCATCATATATATTGATAACATTGTTTTGCATAACATTTAAAATCTCCTAATGCTGAATTATACTATCATTTTCACTTACAGCGAGTTCCAAGGTGAGTCAGTCTTCAAGTAAATTCCTGATATTATACTTGATTTTCGCAGCTTTTTTATTACTTTCGCCAAAGTTCAACGTTAATTTCCAAGTAAGTGTAACCAGGTTGTTTTGGTCGTATAATAAAATAAACACCTCAGGATCAATGGATTCGTTTTATTGTGTAATATAAGAAATGACCCTGCAATACAAATACAAATAATAAATACAAAGAAAGATACCTCTATTCATTCTAGGTGACAATACCTAAAATACAATACTCAAATACTTCCTACTGGACAACTATGGTTTTCCATGTTATTTACTTACAAATCTATTTACATAGAATGTTAATCATGAGAAATATTGTTCTCATCATAAATTACACATCTTAACATTTAACATATTGTATTCTACCAAATATTCTTCTGATAGTCATTTATGGGTCATTCCATTCAAATAACTAACAACATTGAATTAGTACACATAAAGCAAAGCGTACAGTAACATAACACATAAGCTTATTAAAACAAATATTATAGCCATGCTCAAGACAAATGTTAAGCACAAAAACACACATATAAACAGAATACACAACCTACCATGTATGAGGTACATAGGTCCTGTATTTACAATATGGAATCTTCTACATGATATACGAACAGTATGGTTCAAATATCTGTAATAAAAATATTATCATAACTATTTGTGTTTATAGTTTACGTATCAAATTATCAAATCATTTAATAGTTTAAAATATGTCTTAACATACAAATTACTATTTTATATCTTTACTATTACTTCTTTTCACTAAACTGAGTAATTCATATAATTTTACTGTTTATGGCTTAAATACTTACAAAATGATTTGTTTGACTGTGTCAATTTAGTTAAACTGATTTAAACAATATTTAATATACTTTTATATGTTTTAATCTATTTTATACACCTTTTACTCTGAAATCATTCATTCTGACCATTCATACCAAGTCATCTATACAATCTATTCATATCAGTATTTTAGTATGAATGTGACATATTAAGTAGAGAAAACTGACCTGATAATGGAATCAAAGATGTCCACAAATATAAATTTATCAAAGCAATCAACACACAACTATACAATTCAAAGTATGAGTAAATTCTGACCTAACAATAGAATTTCCCTCCAAAATGACCATATGACTAAATTAGCCAATTATCACAAAGAAGAAAAAGTTTCACAATACAAACTAGTAAAACCCAGAGAGTAAACAAATAACCAATATATCAAAACTCACTGAGCCATGTAAAAATCATACAATGAACATAACCAGTGGAGCATGACTAGAAACTAACTCACTAAATACTTAGAATTAAAAATAGTACACTCATCAAATATATAGTATCACAATATCAAAGTATAATACAAAAGTAAAAATATCCAAATTAACACACTACCACATACTCCCCGCTGCAGGAAAAAAATGACGTCCCGTCATTTATCAGTATGTGTAGATGTCTTCAAAATATCTAAAATAGTGCGTGCTGCTTCACTCTTCATATCCACAAAAAGATCAGACTGTACCAGATCAGTAATGCAATCAATCTTCTGTTTCCACTCACTCTTAACACTAACTGCTGACTTAGATATATCATAATCACCTGATGTATACCAAGCGGGTGGTTTTCTAGATCTAGTTGAGCGTCTGACAGGAACATTATCTGAATCATCTGACTCTAGTGAAATATCTGCCTCAGGTGTATCATCCTGTTGGCCATCACTTTCCTCTACTGGAGCGCTTTCTATGTGTACAGATTCCTCCTGCTCAGCCTGTGTAGCAGTATGGGCGTCCCCATGCGGATCTGTAGTTTCTACAGCTTCCCTGTTGTTATCTTCGAGCTGTGTTTCATCAACATCTGGATCAATTGACTCTTCAGTGATGATTCTATCACTGTCCAAATATCCATCTGAGTTGACAATGAAATGGTTTTGAGAATCAGACTCGTCTTCTGATGTGGTATCAGAATCTGAACCTTCTTCTGGTTTGTCCTGTTTCTTCAGTGAGTGTTTAATATGATCTTTTGTGGATTTATGAAGTGATGTTTTCTTGTCACAGATCAATCCAATGGGTAAAAGTAGGTTTCTATGTAATGTTCGTGTTCTTCCTGTTCCATTTTCCCTTCTTACAGTATAAACTGGTATATCTGTGTTTGGCTGAGTCATGACTTTGTATGGTTCTTCTTCCCATTTGTCAGACAATTTATGTTTTCCATCAAATGCAAGGATTCGGACCAAAACTTTATCTCCAATGCTGATATTAGCTCCTCGGACCTTGGTATCATACATCTGTTTTTGTTTTTCTCTGGCCTTTTTGGCAGCCTCTTCAGCAAGTTGGTATGCCTTTGATAAACGCTCCTTCAATTCCTTAATGTAATTTGTTGAAGGCTCAAAGTCATCCTTCCTTAATCCAAAAACAACATCAATTTGAAGTCTCGGATTACGACCAAACATCAGTAAATAAGGTGACTGACCAGTAGACTCGTATCTAGTGCAGTTGTATGCATGTACCAAAGGTCCAATGTATTGTTTCCAGTTGACTTTCTGGTGATTTTCCAAAGATCCAAGGATGTTTAACAAAGTTCTATTGAATCTTTCTGTCATACCGTTACCGATAGGGTGATAGCTTGTTGTTCTTGACTTTTTCATTCCTGTTAATTTACAAAGTTCTTTTATTACTTTTCTTTCAAAATTTGCTCCTTGATCTGAATGAAGTCTTTGTGGAATTCCATAATGTACAATATAGTTGTTAAATAAAACATCTGCGGTGGTTTTGGCAGTCTGATTACGAGTTGGAATGGCTTGTGCATATCTTGTGTAGTGATCGGTTATGACAAGTATGTTCTGATATCCTCCTTTTGATGGTTCCAACGTTAAATAGTCTATAGCAACAAGTTCCATTGGCGTTGAAGTAGTGATACTTACTAATGGCGCTCTTTGTTTCGTTGTTGTTTTTCTCCTTATACAGCGATGAGAGTGTTCTTTCTTTTCCAGGATGTCCCATATCATTATGCATAGCTTCCAATACAGTTGATGCATAAGTAATAGGCAGAACTAATTGCTTCCTTATTTTTCCATCTATAGTTGTTTCTCTGTATAGGATGTTATCAATCAATCTAAGATGTTGAAATTGGCGCATAAATGGACTAGGTCCTATTTCTTTAATTCTAGGTTTTCTATTCTGGTGGACAAATTCAATCCATGGTCTGATGTCTGGATCCATAGTTTGTGCTTTTTCCCAGTCAATAATATTTCCTAGATTGGTTCCTCTGTTGTCTATATCCTCAATCACTACATCAGGTGAAATAGCTGAACTCTCAATATAAGCTGGTGGTAATGCTTTTCGACAAATAGCTTTGATGGATTCAAGCGGTATATTACATCTGTCGTTGCAATCTGTATCAGCAAGAAGACGACTTAGAGCATCTGCGTCTGCATTAGCCTTCCCTGGTCTATAGAGTATATCAAAATCAAATGCTGATAATGCAGCTAACCATCTATGTCCTGTTGCATCAAGTTTTGCAGATGTTAATACATAAGTAAGAGGATTGTTGTCAGTCATGATGGTAAATTTCGTTCCGTATAAGTAATCCTTGAATTTATCTGATACTGCCCATTTCAGTGCCAGAAATTCCCTCTTATGTGTAGCATAGTTCTTTTCAGCTTTAGATAAACTGCGACTGGCATGGCTAATCACTCTTTTGAGTCCATTCTGTTCTTGCTATAAAACAGCACCAAGAGCGTCTCCAGATGCGTCTGTATGAAGTTCATACGGTTTAGAACCATCTGCGTAGCCAAGTATAGGTGCTGATATGAGTTTTTCCTTCAGTTGTTCAAATGCTCTTTCTTGTTCATTTCCCCATTTCCATAATTTCTTTGTTTTAGTCTTGTTTTTCTGTCCTTTCTTTGTTGGTGTAGGCATTAACTCTGTTAATGGTTTTGATATCTTACTAAACTGGTGAATGAAACGACGGTAATATCCAACAAATCCTAAAAATCGACGAATGTCTTCTGGTGTAGATGGTTTTGGCAAAGATGTTACTACTTCTGTCTTTTGTTTATCTATTTGAATTCCTTCTTCAGATACTATGTGACCAACATATTTAACCTTTCGCTTGAAGAATTCGCATTTTCCTGGTGCTAATTTTAAATTTGCTTCTCTAATTTTGTCAAAAACTAATTTTATGTTGTGAAGATGTTCTTCGTAAGATTTTCCAAAAATGATGATATCGTCGATGAATATGCAACATATCTTTAAATTCAAATCGCCTAAAATTTTCTCCATGAGTCTTTGATAAGTTGCTGGTGAATTTGTTAGTCCAAACGGAAGACGGTTATACTCATAAGAACCCAGTGGTCCTACAGTGAACGCAGTTCTTTCCTTATGTTTTTCTTTGATCTCGACTTGATAATATCCCAACTTCATGTCGACAACGGAAAAGAGCTTGCTGCCAGCTAAACAATCTAATAATTCCTCTATCCTTGGCAAAGCATAACTATCTTTTCTTGTCTTTAAATTAATTTGGCGGTAATCAATGCATAGTCTGAGAGATCCATCCTTTTTCTTAACAAGTACCACGTTAGATGCATATGGTGAATGAGATGGTCTTATGATTCTATTGTTGAGAAGTTGGCGTAAATGTGAACGAACTTCATCATACATTGCGGTTGGAATTCTGCGGTATCTCTGTTTGAATTGTCTTTCATTTTCGTCAATTAAATCTATTCGGTGTTGCACCCTATCGGTATGTCCTACATCACCATCACCTTTTGAGAAAATATCTTGAAATGAATTTATCATATCTTTTCCTTCTTGAAATTGTTCATCTGTCAAATTACTTTGCATGATATCCTTGACTTTTTCTGTAATAGGTATATCATCAGTGTTTTCGTCCTTTGGTATATCTTCAATAGTGACTGGTTGAAGTTCGCAAACTATAGCTTTAGGTGGAATGGCTATTGTACTAGTTGTTACATTTGCTATCTTAATTTTCAATATATTGTTGTTGTTATATCTGTATTGATGTATTGCTGGCTCTATATCTAAATCTTGTATATGATGATCAGATACTAATGTTGTTTGTAGTAAACAAGCTGTAGGCTTAAACGGTATTTCCTTGACGCAATATCCTTCAATAATTTTCTGGGTATTTGGAGGTATTATAATCTTTTGTATTTCTGCAGATCTTACTAAAGCTAATCTGTTTTTGTTCTTTGTAAGTTGTTTTTCTTGTAGTGATATAGTCCTGAATGTAAGATACCAAGGTGTAGTTAACTGTGCATTCTGTAAAAATCTATCTCCATGCTGTTGTTTAAGTTCTGACATCAAGGTTTCAAGTATATTAGTTCCAAGTAGTAAAGGTACATGCTGGTTATATTGACTATCTGGTATAACAAGTATCGGATAAGTTCTGTTAATGTTGTTTTTAGTTGTTATTCTTGCTTCGATAAATCCTAAATATGGTAATTGAGTTCCTCCTGCACATTCAATATTCAAAAGTTTATGTAATTCCTGAAGTTCTAATGAGCTTTTTAGGTAACAACTCAAAATAACATTTATAATATTCAATACCAATATCAATACACGATTGTCTCTGTGGTATAATACTATATGTTTACTTCAAATGACAAAGCCTATTTCATGTTATTATATTACAACTGTTCTGTCAAATCTCTATCCACAGCAAATAATCAAATTCTTCATTTGTTTATACCATGAAAATTTTCAATTTCTAAACCAAATCTTTAATAAATTTCTATGACAATGTCAACATCATGTACAAACACAAACACAAGACGTACAAACATACATATAACATACAAATAATGATGATAAACACCTACAGTTAGCTGGTTTTTTTCCAAAAAAAATGTCTCAATCCAATTCACGTTTCCTTCACCAGATGTTGAACCGGAAGTTACGAACAGCTGTGTAGTAGTTACGCAATCCACAAATGAAAATAATTACAATTAAAATTCGAATTATCCACACAATAAGTCGTTGGGCGCCATCTGTAACCAGGTTGTTTTGGTCGTATAATAAAATAAACACCTCAGGACCAATGGATTCGTTTTATTGTGTAATATAAGAAATGACCCTGCAATACAAATACAAAAAATAAATACAAAGAAAGATACCTCTATTCATTCTAGGTGACAATACCTAAAATACAATACTCAAATACTTCCTACTGGACAACTATGGTTTTCCATGTTATTTACTTACAAATCTATTTACATAGAATGTTAATCATGAGAAATATTGTTCTCATCATAAATTACACATCTTAACATTTAACATATTGTATTCTACCAAATATTCTTCTGATAGTCATTTATGGGTCATTCCATTCAAATTACTAACAACATTGAATTAGTACACATAAAGCAAAGCGTACAGTAACATAACACAATACGCTTATTAAAACAAATATTATAGCCATGCTCAAGACAAATGTTAAGCACAAAAACACACATATAAACAGAATACACAACCTACCATGTATGAGGTACATAGGTCCTGTATTTACAATATGGAATCTTCTACATGATATACGAACAGTATGGTTCAAATATCTGTAATAAAAATATTATCATAACTATTTGTGTTTATAGTTTACGTATCAAATTATCAAATCATTTAATAGTTTAAAATATGTCTTAACATACAAATTACTATTTTATATCTTTACTATTACTTCTTTTCACTAAACTGAGTAATTCATATAATTTTACTGTTTATGGCTTAAATACTTACAAAATGATTTGTTTGACTGTGTCAATTTAGTTAAACTGTTTTAACCATATTTAATATACTTTTATATGTTTTAATCTATTTTATACACCTTTTACTCTGAAATCGTTCATTCTGACCATTCATACCAAATCATCTATACAATCTATTCATATCAGTATTTAAGTATGAATGTGACATATTAAGTAGAGAAAACTGACCTGATAATCGAATCAAAGATGTCCACAAATATAAATATATCAAAGCAAACAACACACAACTATACAATTCAAAGTATGAGTAAATTCTGACCTAACAATAGAATTTCCCTCCAAAATGACCATATGACTAAATTAGCCAATTATCACAAAGAAGAAAAAGTTTCACAATACAAACTAGTAAAACCCAGAGAGTAAACAAATAACCAATATATCAAAACTCACTGAGCCATGTAAAAAATCATACAATGAACATAACCAGTGGAGCATGACTAGAAACTAACTCACTAAATACTTAGAATTAAAAATATTACACTCATCAAATATATAGTATCACAATATCAAAGTATAATACAAAAGTAAAAATATCCAAATTAACACACTACCACATAAGTAAAGAGTAATCTTGGATGATCTTCTGAAGGTCAAGTCTACTACTAACACATATTTATTCTATTATTAAACTAGTTCTTGTTACTTTAAATTTGTCAAAAATTTCCATCATTTCGTATGGTATTACACAGTAATCAACGAAACTTAAAACGTGAGCTGATACATAAGCACAGCTTTTTTTTTTTTACAAAACTAACAATTCTAAACTCGTATAACTAGATACAAACTAGATATATATATAGATTGCCTAACAATGTAATTTTAACACACTATTTAGTATGTAAATATAAGAATGTTTAAAATATTTACAAAATGATGAAAATAAACGCAATATTTCGCTAGACTAACTAGCTTTATCAAGCGTGCATCTATCCAGGTGAAATCGGATGTAGATGATAAGAAACTTTTGCAGCTCAATGTATATGTTGCACTTGAATTTAGCTGCCTTGAAAATAATACATAATTTGGATGAAGTTCAAGATTTTTACAAAATTGGTAGTTGAAGTTAGCAACGTCCATTGGCCAATATTACAGGATAAAAAGGACGATGCTGTGTACTAAATTATTCTTTATCTTTCCTTTTCTCATCTTTTTCGTTAAGACCATCAGGTTCTAAAGTGTGGAGTTGGTGGATCCAAAAATTTTCTCTTCTCCTTCTCGCCGTGGTGTCCCACTCGGTGTTGACTTCTATTATTTGGAAAGTAACATTATCAAAAGAATGTTTCGTTGAACGAAGATGTCTTGTGAGAGGACAGTTTTTGTTGGTTTTGTACCATGAACGATGGTTATTGAGCTGAATATTAAATTTGTCCATTGTTTCTCCCACATACTGAATGCCACAAGTGTCACATGTTAATATATAAATTGAGTTCTCCGTTTTACAGTTGGAATTTGAGTAGATGGTATAATTTTGTTTAGTAACGGAGCTGATGAAAGAACTGCTTGTGAGGATACAATAACAACATCATTGATAGCGCTTTCGAAAAAGCAAACTAAACTAGTCGCCAAGAACTTCTAGAGTACAAAGATAAGAATAAAGCAGCTAACAGAACACCTCTTGTACTCACTTACCATCCTGATTTTAAAAATGTGTCTTCCATTGTTCAGAAGCATTGGAAAATTATAGTAAATGATTTAAATCTTAAAAAAGTATTTTCCTCACCACCAGTCATGGCCTTCAGAAGACCTAAAAACATCCGTGACAAATAAGTGACCTCTGTATTAGCAAAGCAGCCTACTTCATCTCCCGGTTGCTACAAACAATGTGGTCGAAGGAACTACTTGTGTTGTAAAGCTGCCAATACAAGCAGTTCTTTCATCAGCTCCGTTACTAAACAAAATTATACCATCTACTCAAATTCCAACTGTAAAACGGAGAACTCAATTTATATATTAACATGTGACACTTGTGGCATTCAGTATGTGGGAGAAACAATGGACAAATTTAATATTCAGCTCAATAACCATCGTTCATGGTACAAAACCAACGAAAACTGTCCTCTCACAAGACATCTTCGTTCAACGAAACATTCTTTGGATAATGTTACTTTCCAAATAATAGAAGTCAACACCGAGTGGGACACCACGGCGAGAAGGAGAAGAGAAAATTTTTGGATCCACCAACTCCACACTTTAGAACCTGATGGTCTTAACGAAAAAGATGAGAAAAGATACAGGAAAGATAAAGAATAATTTAGTACACAGCATCGTCCTTTTTATCCTGTAATATTGGCCAATGGACGTTGCTAACTTCAACTACCAATTTTGTAAAAATCTTGAACTTCATCCAAATTATGTATTATTTTCAAGGCAGCTAAATTCAAGTGCAACATATACATTGAGCTGCAAAAGTTTCTTATCATCTACATCCGATTTTACCTGGATAGATGCACGCTTGATAAAGCTAGTTAGTCTACCGAAATATTGCGTTTATTTTCATCATTTTGTAAATATTTTAAACATTCTTATATTTACATACTAAATAGTGTGTTAAAATTACATTGTTAGGCAATCTATAATTTTATTTGTTTAATTGAATTAATCTCTGTACTGATTAATACACACTCCCATAGATTTGTATGTCATGTGCTGCTATTTATAGGCACTTATATATATATATATATAAATCTAAATTGTTAACAATGTTTAAACCTATGATTTCGTTGGATAAAAACCGCAATTTTTATACGTGTGCATGTAAAACAAATTTCGTTGTAGAAGTGTCTGAATACAGCACAAACAACATTTTCCAAAAGACCAAAAGAGTGAAAAAGTATATTTTAACAAAACGCATTTGACTAACAGGTCGAACAACTGATGTTCTTAATCCCTGCTGACTGCCATTAGCGATTGCCAAATAAATTGATTACAAGATGTAACAAAATGGATCTTAATATAAATTAAGTACTAAACAGAAAACAATAAACTTGCGGCAAAGATGTTATACTCCAAACATGAGGTGCAAATATTTGTACACCATATCCGGATTTCGACAATAAATGTCTCTTCAGTGATGTTATGGATCGAAACGGTATTTGGAAGACCATATAATTAACCTGAATTTAGGATAGACTCTTGAATTTTAAAGAGTCAAAATAGGATGAACGATATATGTTTATAGTAAATATACAGTCCGCCAAAAGTTAAGCACCACCTATATATATGATACCTTATAAATTTTATAAAAGTATTGCTTAATCGTATGTTTTGTTTTTAAATGATAACAATAAGCATACACAATATTGTGTATCAATTTTGTGCAATAATAAGTTCATTTAAGCCTGTTAAACGGCTTTTAATTAACACCGTCGTGGTCAGTGTGGAAAACAGGTTTGGGTACATTCAAACTTTCCACTATAAGTTACCTGCACAGATAAAATTAGCACTTTCTAGCAAGTTTATCTGTGATGGCAAGACGTAAGTTATCTGAAGCTGAAAGATGGCAAGCTGTTGGCATGTCAACTGCAGGTATGAGCACAAGAACAATTGGTGACCATTTTAACGTCAATCATACACTCATCGTTCGACTTTTACGACGTCAAAGAGACACAGGAAGTGTAAATGACAGACCTCGATCTGGAAGACCACGTAAAACGTCAATTCGTAGTGACAGATTGTTGATTCGCACCGCAAGGGCTCATCCATTTACACCTGCAACTCATGATCAGTTACGACAGCAAAGGCCACTAGGTGGAAGGATAAGTGTTCGAAGTGTTATCCGTAGGCTCCATAACGCTAACCTGCGAGCACGTAGAGTTGTACGACGTCCACATCTGTTACCAAGGCATCGACAAATTCGTATGCAGTGGGCCTATGACCATCTTCTTTGGAACATTCGAAATTGGCGGAAAATCCATTGGTCTGACGAAAGTCGATTTCTTTTACGGCCCGTAGACGGGCGTATGCGCGTTTGGCGAGAACGCAATACAGCCCATAACGAAAGGAACATTTTCCCAACTCATGCTTTTGGTGCAGGTGGTATTACGCTGTGGGGATGTTTTTCGTTAAATTGTAAACTTGATATGCATGTCTTACAAGGGAATATGAATGGTCAGATTAACAGAGACTTAGTGCTACGTGACATCGTTGTTCCACATTTCGATGGCCATCCACTTGC